TTCGGACAATTTTCCTTGTTTTACAATTGTTGGTGTTGGTGTCTGATTTTGTTCTTCGCGAACACGAAGGGGCTCACATGTTTGCGAAGAAGGAATTTTGGGCTGCTGGATTTTTGCTCATCGCGAACGCGACACAGAGGTCGCGAATGCGGAGAAGGGCTGTGGAAACCTACGCGAACGCGACATGGAGGTCGCAAACGCAGAGAAGGGCTATGGAAACCTACGCGAACGCGACATGGAGGTCGTGAACGCGGAGTAGGCTGGATGGCTACGAGGAAGAAGGCCATCGCGAACGCGGAGTAGGCTGGATGGCTGCGAGGAAGAAGGTCGTCGCGAACGCGAGGGGTGAAGCGTGAACGCGTAGGGCCGGAACAACTGGGATCGCGAACGCGGACGGGTGGTCGCGAACACGATGAAGGCGGGCCTGGGCAGAATTATTTTAAAAGCGGAATTTTTGCCCATTTCTCTCATTCCTCTCTTGCTTGGGTGATTTTGGGGCGATTTGGAGGAGCCATTTTCATCATCAATCTTGAGGTAAGATTTCTATATATTGTGAGTTAAACACATGGTTTATCTATGGATTTAAGCATGAAAATTAGTCGAAATTGTGAAATTTTGGTAGAAAACCTAGAAATCGTATGTTTGGTTTTTGACCATGAAATTTGGAATAAATCATATATTTGAGTTCATGGCATCATGGGTAAAGTTTATCTTCAAAAATTCCCGGGATCCGGGAACGTGGGCCCGAGAATTGACTTTGTTGACTTTTCGAGCGAAGTTGGGAATTGTTATAAATTGATTAATTATGAGTATTATAGTGTATTTTTTATTGGTTTGCATATTGTTTGACTAGTTTCCGGTCGAGGGGTTTTGATTGAAGAGTTAGAGAGGCATGGGATCCGGTTATGGAACTTCGAAGCGAGGTAAGTCTCTTTTCAAACCTTGTGAGGGGGAAACAACCCCTTGGTGATGTGATTATTTATGTGCTACTAGTTGTGGGTGCTACGTGCACACAAGGTGACGAGAGTCCGTACGTAGCTAAATCATGTTTATGTACGGGTAGACTTGGGACTTTATCATGTAATATTTGAATTGTTTGGACTCATTTTGCTAGCTTAATTAATTGAAATTGATTTAAAAACATATATACATTAGGCCGAGCTTTATCACCTTGAGTTGTTGCCAAGAGGAAAGAGGGATCTAGATATGCTACCTCTTTGGGGTTATGCTAGATACTTACTAGGTACGCGTTGATTTACGTACTCATGCTATACTTCTGTACTAAATGTGCAGGATCTAACATGTTCATTTGGTGGACATCTGAGGGCGTATACGCAACTGCTGAGGAGACTTTATGGCGAGCTACATTCCAGGCTACGTATCACAGCCCACAGAGTCTCATTCGTACTATTTACTTGATCCTGTCTTATTTATATTCCAGACATATGTTGTATTATTGTTATACTCCTTAGTAAATGCTCGTGTACTTGTGGTACCGAGTTTTGGAGATATTCTAGTTGATGCTTACGGATTTACATATTATTATCACCTTTTATTTTATGCAATACTAATTATGTATGTACCCGTAAATTTCAAAAGTATAAATTTCCTTACTTAATAAAAGTTTATGATTTCGAAAGTAAAAAAATAAATAATTTACGTGATAGTTCACCGTTGGCTTGCCTAACGGTAACGTTGGGCGCTATCACGGCCTATAGTGAGTTTTGGGTCGTGACAATAGAACCAAAATTTACTTAAGATATAGATAACAGTTTATAGAGAGGATATAAATATCTATACCTATATTATATTTAAAAGAGGGTAGTCAAGCTTAATACTAAGTTAAATGGCGTGCTGGAAAAAAAAAAGCCACTTAATACTTTTAGGACAAAATTTAAAAATATTTAGACAAAATCTAATAAGAATTAGGTGAAGTGAGATTTGATCAAATTTAATCTAAAGGTATAAATCAATTAATAATAATTCCTATTTTCATTGTAAATAGATTCCAAAACTTTATTAAATAAATATATAATGTAGGTAATTTCACTAACAAAAATTAAAAGCCGAATTTATATCTTGAAACTAAAAGAGAAAATAAAATAAATGTACGTAATACAAAAAATAATTATAAGAAAATTCAATAGATTTGAAACATTATAAAAGAACTTATGTATTATTTTTTACACTAATTCAAAGTTATATTTTAAAATAAAATGTGATATTATTTTGAGTATAGGTAAAATATTTATGTAAAAAGCTAATTAAAATTTCTTAGTAGGGAAGAGAATGTATAAAGAGGAAAATAGAGATAGTGAGAGGATACTTATATTTTTATATTTATTTAAAAATAAATAAATCTATATATATCTATATTATATTAAAAGGAGGGTAGTATGCATTGTGGTTAAGCCAATTGGCAAGCTAAAAAGAAGCCACTTGGCAAATTTAGGACAACATTAATAGTTAGAAATTATAAATAGAACATAATTAATGGAAGTAGTTGAATGAAATAGATGTTAGACATAATTTAAATAGATCCTAGACAAATCTAATCTATATATTTATATCTATACCTATCTATATATTGATCCACTCATAAATTTTCTTCTATATTAGCTAGAAATATGGAGGTAAAGAATTAAGTAAACAAACTATAATAAAAATATAAAAATATAGAAAGACATAAATTGAGATAACCTATGACTATTTATACTTTGGAATAAGTTAAAATATAAAATAAAA